GGAGTTGAAGTCCACACATCTTCAAGTTGTTGAGGTTGGGAAACACTGCTCTATAAAGATTATCATGATTGTAAATGAGGAGCAGGTCAGGCAGGACAAGAGATGGGATAGGCCTCTGAAATCCTTGCTTTTGATCTTCAGCCATAGAATGGGATTGTGAGATCCGATGAGCTGGACGATGAGAGATGTCAGGCCCAGGGAGGAGATGGAAAGGAGTTATGCATAAGCCATCAAAGTAACTGGCTCAGAATTTGAGCATCATCATCTCTTTTTTAGCCTGTTATTTTTGTCACTGCTGTACTGATCTTTCTCAGCCAGAGGAGGAGAATAGAAGCCAGGGAATACTGACTACGGCAGTTGTCCATAGTCTGTGCTCTTGGCCTGCCATGTGCAAGATTAATGCCAATTGTAATAATCTCTCCAGATTCCAATTGATCCGTAGCTGCTGTACCTCTGAGGAGAGTTGCTTGGGTTCAGGACACCTTTTCTCCTTCTTGGGTTCCCTGGGCTCAAGTCCCATTTCCTACAGCTGCGGCTAGGACCTTGGGATCCTGGCATTCAGCCATTCCACCTCTTAACAAACCAGACCACACTTAAAGAAAGCATAGGAAGACTGGCTCACAGGTTATCTTCCTCCTCTTAACCCTTTCCTCTCCCTTCTGAGAATTTGGGGTAACGAAACCCAGGAGTCCCTATTCTTGAACCTAGTCTAATAGTGCTGACTACAGAATTCTCTTTGTAGTTTTTATTTATTCAGTTCCTTGCCAGACAGAACGTGTTTTTAACTCAGTATATCCCATAAGATCTGTCCCTTCACATGCATCCTCTCTGTGACATCTTCTGCTCCAACTCCATAACTTTAAAGCTTTATTAATTATGTGCCATCCAGTTGGTGTTGACTCTTAGTGACTGTATCAGTTGACATCCTCCAGGATAACTTGTGCTGGCAGCTTCTCTTTCCTATACTGTGAGTAGCTAGGGGAAGTTAAAAGTTTTCATGTTGAATTTCTTCCTTTCGTGCTCTTGTTCAGGCAGAAGGAGGGGAAAAAAAAAGGGCAACCATAAATTATATAATTACCCCTCCCCCACCCCACTCCACCCCATTTAGTCAGCATTGCTACCAATCTTGTACCCGACTTCCACTAGCATCATCTTATTGGCTGGAAAACAGCTTAGTCACTCTGGATGGAGAGAACCTGATAGGCCAGATAGCCAGTCTCTCTTGGAGGAATAGGGTGGTGTGAGGTTTCGAGTCATGCAAAGAACGGAAATTGGAAGAAGTCAATCACATCGGAAGGGCAAAGTTTAGGAGCATCCACGCATGGAAATAAGGCAAAGTGGACTTTTAATTGCATGTGAGAGTTTGCAAGGGACACCGTGGAGGGGCAGAAGAGCGTTAATCAAATCTGAACAGCCTGCAATGAGGTCTCAGAGGAAAACTCCATTCTGTATTATCAGTTGTACCCACGTGCTTTTGTGTGCCTGTGCATTCTCTAATTGACTAACGTGCGTTTCCATCTACGTTTCAAACCATTCACACCCAGGGGAGCGTTCACAAGAGAATAGTTCCAGATGAGCAGGTCCGAGCCCCCTCTGGACCTATGCAGTACAAGGAACGCTTGAGTAGCCTGATGGACAATGCTGCTGAGAAGTGGGATGTAACCGAAATAAACCTGTTTCTGTTATCTGCAGTTAGCAGCCAAAGCTAGATCCTTCAATTAAAGAGACACAGCTTCAGACCCTCCCTTCCCTACATCTTCAACAGGGGGAAGACCTCACGCCTATTCTTCTTGGCAGAAATGTGTTGGGTCTATAATCAGATTCCGTTTGGTTATTCTGGTAGCTTTTCTTAGCAGCATCCCTTGGAATCCTTGAAACCAGAGGGAGATAGCATCATGAGCAGAGTGTTCTCAAACTTTTAGGCTGCCAACAGTCACAGACTGATTGACAGCAGATAGATAGACTCACAAGTGCCCCGGGCTGCTTCTGAATCATCTGGCTTTTGCTATTGTCAGAGCCTGACCAGATAGGGTCACTCATCTGTTCCGCAAGATGACTTTGGCCTGTCTTTCCTCTCAGGCCGGGATGCAAATTAGTACATGAAGCAACCAATCACTTTTAGGAGTAAGAGGGTGTCAGGGATCCAGACTTAACGTAGCTTAATTATGGGAACCAGCCGAAAGTGACACAAAGAGCTAACGCAAAGAGATTTGGAGAACAGCTAATCATGAATGAGACTCCCAACCATACGGTCTGGCAGAGAAATAATTGGAGGAGCCAATAGGCTTGCTGTAGAATGCTCATATGCAAATGATGGGACCAGGGGTTAGGAATGATTGGTTGAGGCCGGGCTTGCCGGCATATGATGCGGCAACCTTTGGCATCGAAGGTGGGTTTCCTGGTTCTTGCAGGAGAAAGCCGGGATGTCGAATAAATCAAATAGAAATAAAATAAAGGAAATAAGGCAAATAGAAAATGAAAGCCATTTATCATACAGCAACATCTAGCTGCTGCCCATCGCAGTAACTTTCAAGGCTCCTTGGTAGTTATTTCCCCCAAAGGATCTGTCTGATTCTGATTTTTTTTTTTTAAATGTCATGCACTGGTGGCCAAGGAGAAAATATTGATTAATGAAAAAAGTGGCTACCACCTATGATGATTTTTATTCTTTTGCTTGGCCTCAGCCTATATATACCTGACTGGAGAGTAAATATTTGCTGTTTAAATGATGTTGGAGATGCTACCCCATTTCTGGCCTGCAAGGAGCTATTAACCCTTTCCACCCCCTTTCTTCCTCCATTCTGGATTGTGTTAGAGGATGACAGCCGCTCTGGTGGTTGCCACTCTGTAAAATCCGGAGGGTTGTGAATTGCCACCCCAGCGGCTGTACTTGGAAACGAACCCTTTAAAGTGAACTCCTTCAACTCAGCAGCCTTACGATATTTTAGGATTATAAATTTTAGGATTCCCAGACAGAGTTCTGGGTATTGTAGTCCCAACAGGTGGGCACAAGGCATAAAGAAGAAATGGGGCTTCAATCGCACGGTTGTGGCATCATCTTGATTTTTTTTGCCCCCTGCGGACACCCCTGTTACCGTGAGACATAGCTAATGTTATTATTCTCTAATCAAGCATGTACAGTAATATTTCCCTCATTGTAGACCCATTAAAAATGTCAATCTGCTAACAGCTTTTGGAGAGCTCTGAGCAGGAGGGAGGCGTCTGGCTTGTGGCCTCCATTTTCACCCCTCTGCTCCCCAAATTTCCCCAGTGGATTTGTTATTTCTATTAATTCAGCCCCAGCTATGAAGCTAGAAAAATGGAGAGGCCCAGGCTTCTCCCCAACCCATCCCTAGAAGGGAAATGAAGTTTTGAAGATTAGAACAAGGGAAAGGAGGAGGCTCGGACTTGGTGTGTTTTACTCCCTTACAGAAGGAAAACAGACTGGTTTCTCTCCCTTCTAGGAATTTGGATACAGACTTTGTGCTGGTTGCAGCAGGGAGGCCTCATTCAGTCACCTTTGTGAACAGATCTGCTAATTCTCCCTCTTAGGGTTTCAGAGGATGCTTAATTTTCTTGAACATAAATTGCCCGGGGTTAAGCCCGCCCAGTGATATCATTTTTTTTTTTTTTTTGTAATGGAGCATCTTATGTCTAAACTCAAATATCTAAGGACTCAAGGCTCTGCACATGCTCAGCTACAGCCTTGTACGGATGGTTGCTGCTTTTATTCTTGTCACTCCAAGTGACTGTGGCTGATCTGGAAACACTAAGCAGGGTTGAACCTTGTGAGGACCTGGATGGGAGACCACAGGGAGATCCCGGGGATACTGACTAGACTGGGGAGTTGAGAAACATTCTGGAAGATGGCAGTGGACAACTTCTTCTACACTGCTGCCTCAGATTTGAGCTCAACAGAAGGAAAATTCATTATGCTTAATCTTGGGCTGCATGTTATCATTAAAAGGAGGGCAGAAATAAGCTGTGACTAATATAAACCCAAAACATAAAATAATAACAACCTTTCCTCCCTGCTTTTTGGATGTTTTAGTGTGAATGCATACCTACTCTGTTTTGTAAATATGAATATGTCTAGCTGCCACCAGGGACCCCATTTTTCTCATTGCAAAGTTTGTCTGGGAGGATATTTTTATTGAATATATAGTACATTCCCATCTGCCGTATCTCTCTGTGTAGCTGGATGTGCTTTGATTTTCTGGCTGTTTTCCTACGTCTCCCTCTGCCAGTCATATTAATGCATCCAACTGGAGTCTGGATTGTCTTGGTTTTCTGCTGGAAAAACGAAGCAGATTTCACGTTACAAGTTTTTGTTAAGAAGCATGAAAATGCTTGTTTTCAGAAATTAGGGCTTTTTGTTAGGTGCCTTAGTTATGTTGGGGCAAAAGCTAATTATAATAATATTTTCAGGTCACAGACACTGTAGTGTGATTTCACATGATGTTGTGGGCACTAACATTTTTTGAAAGTAATTCCCGCCTGCCAGGGAATTCCATTTGGTGGGTCCCAGGTGGTGGACCAGATTCTCTGTCATGGCGCCCACCTTGTGGAATCTTCTCCTCCCAGAAATGAAGTGAGCCCTGTCCCTCTTAACATTCTGCAAGTCCCTCAAGACCTGGCTATGTGATCAGGCCTGGGGGTCCCAGGGGACCAGGGAGATTTTGCAATGGCTCCCTTACTACGGTTAACATCATCCTCTGTGTATTTTGTATGGTTTTTATAGTTTTTATAGTTTTAATTATTGTTTTATATGTATTTATTGGTTCTTTTTAATTGAATGCTGTACACCACCCAGAGTCACTCTCTTGTGAGATGGGCGGCCATACAAATATGATCAATCACTGTATATTAATTATATTTTGAAACTGGCAAGGGAGCAAAGGTCAATGTTGCTTTAAAGACAGAGCTCAGTAGATGGTTTAATCTGTATCAATTTTGTCTCTTGGACAGGCCAAAGACAGTGATGATGAGGAAGAGGTGGTACATGTGGATCGAGACCATTTCATGGATGAATTCTTTGAGCAGGTAAGATGAAAGATAGCCCTGAAGGTTTCTGCAAAAAAGATAAGGACTTCAGATTATAAGAACCGAATCAAGATATCCACATTGGGCATTGCAATTCTTTTGTACTTTGTTTTGTTTAGTAAATTTGCCAGAAATGTGTTTTTCCTAACAATAATTAATATTTCAAGAGAATATGAATATCTATCAAATAAATATTTCAGGAGAATATGAATATCTATCTCCTATAATTAATAGCCAGCATTCAAACTATTCACTGCTCGTTCAGTCTTATCAAAAGAAGATGACATTCATTTTACAGTCACAAATATATCTTGGATTTGCATCTCAAGAAAGCAATAGGCAAAGACAAAAATTTGACCAGGTTTGGATTTTAAATTTTAATCGATGGAACTTCCCTGTTCAGATGCAGTCTATTTTTGAACACAGAGGAAGGTAGGCTGTAATGGTTCTAGGCTTCCCAGAACAAAGGCCACTGACTGGGCACCATTACAGATAAAATGCTAGGCTACCTAGATTTTAGTTGAATATTGCAGATCTCTTTTGACCTTCCCATGCTGTTATTTATCATTTATTTGGCTTGTATCAGAGACTGAAGTAGATATGAAGTCCTGCCTCAGACAACAAGTCCTTCTCCTGTCTTCTGAAATGAAACCTGGGTTTGGCCGTACATTTTTCGACTTATCCACATAGTCATAGGGCATAGAATCCTGCCTCTTTAGAAGTGGAAGCCGCACTCTCAGAATCCATAACTTTTGCTCTAGATACCAAATTCTGTACTTGTGGCTTGTGATAGCAAATAAGTGAAATAAATATTATTCTGCTAACTGTGAGCTGGTAGTGCAGCTCATCGCAGAGAGGTGGCGTGTCCTCATCCATGTTTGGTTCAATTTCTAAAGAACCTTCAAGAGCATGAAGTCTCTCTGGCGGTAGCAGCCTACCACTTTCCTTCGTAGGGCTCAGAAGCTGTGCAGGATGCAGCTGAAAGAGTTTTCCTTTATTATGTCAGGGATGATTACCTGACAGTCCTCCGACTGGAACTGGACTGCAAAGCTAGGAGAGGCATCTTTCAGCATGTTTGTTGGATGGAAGCAAGCTGTGTCTTTAAATCCAGGCCAACAGTATTGGCATTTTTTTTTTTAAATCACACACCAATGGATGCCCAGTTTCAAAAACAAATGGGGAATTATAGGTGAGAGAAGCTGAATCCTGCCTGCGGTTCTTTCATTTCCCAAGGCATTTTTCTCTCACCTACTTCCAGGGCAGAGATTGCAAAGAAGTCACCCATGAGGAGGGAACTTCAACCATGACTCATTTCCCTTTACCTGCGTAGCCTTTTGCTCTTAACATTGGACCCACACAGACACTTAAGCACATTTGAGTACTCTCAGTGCAGACACAAATATAATCCAAGCAGCCATTGTGTGTAGCCTGAATATAGGTTTCAGTTGTGAGGGAAGGAAATACTTTTCAAAAATTATATGTGGGTAAAAAGAAGGCAGTTTAATGCATGAGGTGGAGATCCGTATGTCAGATTTTGCAAGATTTGGCATTTTCCACATAGCAACCTATCCCTCTTTCTGCCAGATCTAGCTTTGTTACAGAGGCCCTTAAAGAATTTGGGGTTTGCAAACATGAAAAATAAAATGGTACGAAGAACAGAGAAGTCAGCCCTTCTTGCCTTTTCCATTTCACTCTCCCCACTCTTTCTCAGCAACTGGTTTTGTACAGGGGAGATGGGTGGGTACCAGTGGCCTGAATTAGCTCCTGCTTGAACACGTGCTTGGGCCCTGTGAGAGCATTAAGCCAATCCATACTCAAATGGCAGGCATTTAATAGGCAAGAGCATCTTTTAATGATACTGTACAGCCTCCATAGTGCACAGGTGCTGGAGGTGAAGAAATGCAGGGCTAGGAGCTGTGCAGTCTGTGTTTGGTGGCAGGTCCTGTTCCCAAAGGACATCAGTGATTAAGGCCATTGCTCTACTGTCTGGAGAAATGTTGTTCTTTCTCTGAAATTACATCATAGCGGGCAGCGGGTTGTCGATTGCAGCTGCTGTGAAATCCCAGGAAAATAAGCCTTTGGGTTAAGGAATTGCAGACGGGTGCTACCTTTGCCCTCCTGTGAGAGCCAAAAGCACCTTTTTTACTTTCAAATATTAAACCTCACCCAGCCCTAATACCGGATGAATAGCAGAGAACCAAATTATGAACGGCGTTTCTGAGATTCTCAGAGGTGTTCCATTTTTTAGTTCTCAGGGTGAAACTCTCGAACAGATGCAACTGATGTGTGCTAAAGGGGTTGCAGCATTCCAGGGGGAGTGTTCCTGCACTGAACAAGCTACTGATTCCCCTCATGGGGATTCCCATCAAACTTCTCTCTTTCATTCATTGCCTTTCACTGGCCATTCCTCTGCTCTTGCCCCATTCCAAGAAATCCCAGGGTCTGATGAAATAATAATTGTATAATAAAGTACAATAGAGTGAGCATATAAAATGCCCTGTTTCAGGCAAAAGTAGCTAAAGCAGCTGCATTGTATTTTGATCTGAGAATGTGAATACTCTTGGGCATTTTTGTAATCAATGCCATTTTTAAAATCTGATCTGATTTAGTAAAGCTTACTCAGCAGAGAGTAACTTCTGAACCTTGAGGCCCAAATCATACAGAAAACACTTCCATTAAAATCCAGTAGGAGCTGCCTTCCTAATACAGTTTTCAGTGCAAAAGGGGCGTGAGGGGTGGTAATTATTAAGCCTATAGCTGACTTTCCTTGTGCCTGTTTTTGGACATCAGAGCAGTTCTCTAGCCCTGGATAAGAACCGTTCTAAGAGAAAGTAAAGCTTGCAGGGGGAAACAGTGATGAGATAAGCAATTGACATGGGAAGGTTTCAGGTATGCAAACATTCCCTTTGTTCTGTAAAGACACCCGCTACACTCTTTCTACATAACTGGGACAGACCTGGGTTTAAGCAAACAGGCCTTTCATACGTTGCTCGTGTCAGGATAAGGTATTGAATGCTGATTGGATCCACTATGGTATGTGTTGTGTGTATCATGGAAGGAAGCTCCTGTCAGGGTTGATGTGAAGATTCAGTTGGAGGGTGTTGGCGAAAGACGCTGTGCTGTTACGAGCCGAGGCGGAATGTTTCAGGACCTTGGACAGGGCTTCCTAGAATCAGCTCCCAAACTGGTTCAAGTCCTTTCTGCATCACACTACCCCCTAGTGGTGCGTTAAGGATACTGCTACCATCTAACAGAATAAAACCATTTTTGAACTTTTCAATAATACGAAGAGAATGTGTAAGCATGACGAACAGCTCCAAACTACAGTACCCCAGTTCTAATCAGGACCGCCGCCACCACCGAACATGGGAAGGGGGAAGTTTATAATAGGGATTGATCCTTCTCACCAGAATATTACTTGCAAGGGAATGCAGCCTTCACATTTAACCCCCTCCCCAATTAAATGATCCCTTTTCTTTCCAAATGAAAGAGAAAGGGAAGTACTTTGCAAACCCAAGCAGTTTGTTCATGTGATGCCCACAGAGATGCTCAGGAATGCATACCCTCTCTTGGAAAAATTCTCTTTTAAGTCTAATATTGACGTGGGAAACTAGGAAAAACTGGCTCTTTCCCATCTTACTGGTTTTAATACCTGAGGGGGCTCCAGATGAGGTCCCCCTATTGGACTGGAGCTCACACCTTTGGGGCAATCATAGTGAGCATTCTTCACCAATAAATCCTTGTTCCCAGTTTGCTCTCAACAGTATGTACTGTATTCATGATCACACTGAGGATAAAAACCTTGTCCTATAATCTGCTTTAATAATCCCAATTCTAAATATATACCTGCCCCCCTTCCTGGATGTCATCTTTTGATGACATCAGCAACCGGCATGCTTCAGCCTTCCTGCTTCTGGCTTCCCCAGGGTCCTGCTGCCCACTGTTCTCCTGAAGGAGGCACAGAGGATCAGGATTCTTGTCACAGGGCAGATGGGTTGCTAAGGTTAAGAATAGCTCCTTAGTAAAAGGGCCCTTGCATTCCCAGCATGCACTGGGGAGATTACACTCTCATTCACTCTCATCTGTTTCATAAGGCAGGGAAGGGAGTGTGTGTGTGTTTCTAGCAATGAGTTGAACAGCCTCCATGACTAGTTTCTTTGACTGGGCATTGGAATGTCCTCCATGGAGGGGGAAAAAAAAACTTTGAGCAACTTATTTTAAATAATTACCTAGAAAAGAAATATCCTTCTGTTGTTTTGGCATCACCTCTTATGATCAGTGAAGCAGCACTTTTCTGCAATTTATTCCTTTCTTACCTGTATTGAAATCTTGTTCTTGGTGGGCTACCATCTGAAGGAAAAAGGGAGATACCTTACAATAGTGGGTCCTGCTGCAGAGGAAGGGGGGCAATCTGTCACCCCAACCTGCCACCCTCTAAATGTACTGGAGCAGTTATTTTGAAAATTGCCAACATGGTTGACATCAGGATGGAGAAGGTTGGAATAGAGAATGCCAATGATAGCCTCCAGTTGAATGGGCTGGGGCCATCTTAGTGTTTTCATTTCCTGACTCAGTAGTCAGCCTCAAGGGTCTCCTCTTACCTCGGAATTGGATGACTCTCTGGCTGGATTCACACCCCACTGTATGCCATAATGTAGTCTATTTGGATTTGTCTTAGAGTATTTTGTGAATGCGGCTATTATGGCTCACATCTTATGATTTCTGTCTTTGGGTGCTGTATGAACCCAAGTTTATTGCTTATTGAACAAGCCATTGCTGAATGTACTGTTTGAACCCAGTCTCTAATTGCTTAAAAACCCCAAGGGAACTTGTCACTTATGGACAGTGGCAACTCTGAAAACTTCAGGTTACCATAATGAATACTTCCTGTGGTTTAAAGCAAACCATACAAGAGAGAATTGATACATGCTTCCGTGTATCCTGTCCAGGTAGAGGAAATCCGTGGCTGCATTGAGAAGCTCTCGGAGGATGTGGAGCTGGTGAAGAAGCAGCACAGTGCCATCTTGGCTGCCCCCAACCCAGATGAGAGTGAGTGAAAACATAGACTCAGCCTCTTTAGCGGTACTTGCATACACATCCTCAGCCACTCATACATGTGCATTGGACATGCCCAGTGCTCTCTCGCCAGATCCTGTGGGAGGATGGAGGCATCATTTGTGTGTAGGCCATCATTTCAATCATCTCTCCAGACTGCTAGAAAAGAGGCAGCAAAGGACAACTGAAAGGGATAGAGAGCTAGAGCTGCTCCTGTCCAAGGAAAGACTGCAACGTTTGGGACAGAGGCGGGTAAGGGGAGATGCAATGGAGGAGTATCACATCATGCAGAGTATGGGAAAAAATGCTGGAGAGCTTTTTCTCCTCTTCTTATAAGGCTAGCACTTGGGTCACCCATAGAAGCTACAGGCTGGAGATCTAGAATCAGGAAAAGGGCAGACCTTTGTGTAATAATGCATATACAGTAGGTAGTCCTTGATTAATGACATTTGTTCAGTAACCATTCAAAGTTACGATGGCACTGAACAAGTGGTAATTACAAGCAGTCCATGGAGTTCTGGCTGTCCTAGTACCCCCACAGTCAAGTGATTGCAATCTGGGCATTTGGCAACCAGCTCGCATTTACAACTGTTGCAGCGTTCCACAATCATGTGATCACCATTTGCAGCCTTCCCTGCTGGCTTCCCACAAGCAAAGTCAATGGGGAAGCAGGCAGAGAAGATTGCAAGTTGTTCTGGTAAGTTTCCCTCACTGGCAGCAGCCACTTCAAGCCTTGCTGCTACTGTGCCACAACAGCCCTTCACACACACCCCCACACACACACACACCCAGCAGCAGCCACTTACCTGCTCACCAACCTCCTTGTGAGCCAGCTGGGACTTGCAACTTCGTGCCAGCTTCCCCACTGACTTGGTTGTTGCAAGGAGGTCCTCATTTAACAAGCTGCAAGCCTCACTTAACAACAGCCACAGGGACTGCCAGGATTGCTGTCACTAAGTGACGCAGTCATGTGACATTGTGTTTTATGGCCGCATCACTTAGCAACAGAAATTCCGGTCCCAATTACTATCATTAACTGAGGACTACCGGTAGTTAAATTGGGATTCTCTGCCATCAGATGTAGTGATGGCCACCAATTTAGGTGTTTTTAAAAGGAGACTGTTTTAGTAGGTACTCTTGATGGCTGTTTATTACCTCCAGAATCATGGGCAGCATATCTTAAATACCAAGTTCTGGGGAGTGCCAAGGAAAGAGGGGATACCTCTCCAAACCAGGTTTCTGAGTTTCTTGAATGCATCTGACTGCCCCCTGTGGGACACAGAATGCTGAATTAGATGTGCTCTTGACCTGACCCAGCACAGCTGTTCTTTGGTTTGTAAGCTTTGGTGCCCCTTTTTTGCTGTTCATCTTGCAGAAACCAAGCAGGAATTGGAGGACCTCACAGCTGACATCAAGAAGACTGCCAACAAGGTGCGCTCCAAGTTAAAAGGTAAGAGTTGGAGCTGCAGCTTTATGGTTTGTCCCTTTTTGTTACCATAACACATACCTTTATAGGGCTTTCAGTGAAGCGCGCCACTTACAGTATCATAGTGATCCTTAAAATTACCTTGTAAGGTAAACCACTATTACTCCTGCCTTGAATTGTTGCAAAGAAAACTACACAGATGTGTTAGTGAAGTCACAAGGAACTGAATTCAACCTTTTCATAGTTATCTCTGGATTGAGAAGTCACAAAGAGAGAGAGTGGCATTTATCTAAGGGCCAATTCATATATTCGTGACTTTGAAAGAATTTGAACCAGCAATTTCTCAGTCATTGCTGATTCTTTGAAGTATTAAAACCATGTGGGTTGTATAGAGTAGCATGGATACTCTGGAGGTTAATGGGAAGCTGGAGTGCGTAAGATTTAGCTGGTGCAAACAAACGATGCTTTTTTCATGGGGAGAATGAGTTTCCATGGTGGAATGCAAAACTCATGGCTATTCTCTCTCTTTTTAAAATAATTTTTATTAAAGAAGTTTTCAACAGAATAAAACAAATACAGATTTTGAATTGAAGAGAAAAAGAATAGAAAAAAGTAGTAAGAAAGTGAAAAAGAAAGAAAGGAATAGAAAAGAAAGAAAAAGAAAAAAGTAGTAAAGAAGTGGATTCTGATCTTAACAATTATAAGCACATTTATATTTTACCCGTTCTCTCTAAGGTTACATCATAATTTCCTTCTTTCCATAATCTACCCTTTCTAATCATCAACTCATTGCTATTCTCTTGGAGTATATTTATTATCTGCTCAACAAAGCCCTGGTGATATGCCTCTCTCTGAGGTCTCTGGTAAAATAGCAGCATTGCTTGGAGTAACAGAGATAAATTTTGCCTCCAGCTTGATGTATGATTCCACCCCTTAACAATTGGATTCAGCTAGTCCTCAGGTTAAGACCACTCATTCAGCAATTGTTCAAAGTTATGACAGCGCTGAACAAGGGGGATTTATGACTGGTCCGCGAAGTTGCAGCTGTCGCAGCATCCCCGTGGTCACGTGATCACATCGGGCGCTTGCCAACCGGCCTGGGATTATGACTGTTGCAGTGCCCTGCGATCATTTGATCACCTTTTGTGACCTTCCCTGCTGGATTCCCACAAGCAAAGTCAATGGGGAAGCTGGCACGAGGTTGCAACTTGCTCCCACTCCTGCCACTTTTTTGCCTGCCCACAAGCACCCACCTGCCGACTTGCCCACACTCCATAGCACCTGGCCGCAACACCTGTCCACTTGCCTGTGGTCCATAGCACTTGCCTGTGGCATCTGCATACCTGCCCACACTCCATGGCACCTGCCCATGGCCCCTGTGAGCACCTGCCCATGCTCCATAGCATAACCTCATCACTTAGCGACAGAAATTCCAGTCCCAATTGCCATCGTAACGCAAGGACTACCTGTACACATTTCACTTTCTCCCACACACATACTTGCCCATTTAATTAGTTTGTTAGGTTTGTATATTGCTTTTCCTCCAGAGCTCAGGATAACATATGTTGTACTCCTTCCTCCAATTTTTATTCCCACAAGTTGCGGAAGGCTGCCCTGAGAGATGATGACTGGCCCAAAGTCAGTCCAAAGCTTAGTTTGTATTTGAATCTGGACTTTTGTGGTCATAGTCCAGCATCTTTCATCCAGGCTTTGGCAAGGAAGAGTGAGACCCCTCACTTCATCATGCTTGCCATCTTTTATCTTTATCTTTTATGTTTTATTGATTTGATTGTAATTTCTTTGATTGTTGTGAGCCACCTGGAGTCATTGAGAGTCTGACAGCATACAAGTTTAATAAATTATTATTTAATTATTTAATTAATTAATTAATTAATTAATTAATAACCCTAACTGCAACACCATACTGGCTCTTGAGTTACAAATGTAAGATATTTTGCGAAGCTTCAGCTATAGTAACAAAACAAAGGATGATTGATCCTCAGTCGAAGCCTAAACTTGACCTAAAAACTTTCATGGCTCTGTCCATGAAGGGATCAGATGGGTGGAAACACTCTAAACTGCAGGAGGATACCCTAGTGTACAGAGTAAGGAAGGTGACCTTGACAGAGATATGTAGGCTCCATTACCTAGGCAAAGGGGGCTAAAGCATTTTTAGGTTCAGAACATTCAGATAACTTTGAGAAAAGACTCAGACACCTCCCTAAATCACTGCACTATAAAGAGGAGGTACAATACAAACAGAACTTGCAAGATTCTGTTATTCTAGCCCAGCCTTTCTCAACCTTGGCAGGTTGGAGATGTGTGGACTTCAACTCCCAGAGTTCCCCAGCCAGCATGCTGGCTGGGGAATTCTGGGAATTGAAATCCATTCATCTTCAAGCCACCAAGATTGAGAAACATGGTTCTAGCCAATCTCAATAAAAGTAGTTTTAGACATCCTGTGGAGTTGATTTCATGGTCTGGTCTACTAGTGGGGCTGACACTAGCCTGGGGAACTTCATCTGTAGCCCACCAGTTCACCCTTAAGGGCAGCAATTCAGAAGTCTCATGTACTAACTCACTAGTTTCTCATTTCTGTACTACAGCTCTGATTTCTCAACTATTTTCTTTTTCCAGCGATTGAGCAGGGAATTGAGCAGGAAGAGGTACAGAACCGATCCTCAGCTGACTTGAGAATCCGGAAAACACAGGTACTCTTCCTTGGTTCTCATATGAGAGCTTTTTTCCCTTTGTGTTGTTTTCTTCATTTTCCAGTGTTCTGAAGTCTTTTGGTTTTTCCCAAAATCTTGTGATATGAACCAAATATTAATTTTTTAATTAGGACTTAAGGATTATATATGGTCCTATTTTTCTTTCAAAACAACTTCTGAATTGGGCAGAGTTATTTTAAAGAATATTGACATGAGGCACTGATTGCAGAAGGAAGGCAATGGAGGTATAGTATAAAGAGGGTGGCCCATCAACAACCATGTTGTGACTTCCAGGACCTGCCAGAGTCCCTCCATCCTGAAAAAAAAGGCTATTTATTTATGAATTGCTTAGATCGTTTTAGGGCACCAAGCCCCATATAAGCTGAAGGTATCCATTTTACCCCTTACAACCCCTGAATCAGGGCCAATTGCAGATCGGGCCTTGCCTCCTTTAGATGTATGACTCTTGACATGCTGGGTGAAGACAAGCGTGATCCTCAGGCCAACAGAAGTTGGGAATCCTTTGTTAGAAAGGACATGGTCTATACTGCAACTTTGATACTCTTTTACCATCTCTTCTGCTGAACTCATGACCCCAACTACAGCTGTCCCCCAATTAACGGCCAAAGTTAATTCCTTGAGCTGATGACTGTTCTCAATAAATCAAGCTTTTTATACTTTTTCATCTGATTATTTTAGCATTCTAAATTTCCATGATTTTGAATAATACCCCCATAGCATGTTCTTCAAAGGTGCACAATGCTTTCTTTTGTTCCACACTTAAAACAGCAGCTGCCTATGAGAAAGAAAAATAACAATATTTTGGTGTTTTTTTTCAGTGACACCCATGTGAGCTCCAAGTTACGATGCAGTTTACCAGCTGCATTTTTAATAATTTTTTAAAAAATGCAGGCATGTTACTAAGATCTTCAGCAACAACAGCTGCTAATCAGCTGTTCTAGCCAATCTATTTAACACTGAAACTGCAATCTCACCCATGTGGTCTCCTTCTTCTTCCCCCCACTTTATGGAAGTCTTTCTTTTTTCTGGCAGGAATCTTCTCCTTCTCTTTAGAAATTACTTGATCTGTGTGTGGGTTTGGTTTTGGTTGTTTTTTTTTGCAGTCACTGCCTTTGCTTAGCTAAGACCAATTTCCATGCTTAAGCCCCATTCCCTCTCCTCCCTTAAACTCTGTAAATGCAACAAGTTCTCAAACTAAGATATATTTTTTTTAATCTGAAAAAAATCTGATTACAGGACTACTGATTTACACCTCTGACCACGCTCTGGGGCTTATAATTTGATTCAAAAGGATTTACAATAGAAACCCCCATTCCAAGCCTTTGATTCCAGAGAGAGAAGCTTTTTAACCTTCTGCAGGGCTATATAGCATGTGTATATGCTGTCCTTTGCCTCTGTGACCCTCTCCTCATTTTGTTGACTAGCATTCAACCCTATCTCGCAAGTTTGTGGAGGTGATGACGGAATACAACACAACTCAGTCTAAATATCGAGATCGATGCAAAGACCGTATCCAGAGGCAGCTGGAGATAAGTATGTCTGTTTACCTTTCTAAGCGTTTGGCTAAAAAAGGACCCTAACGTGGTGCCTTTAAAAAACAAACCAATCCCTCATTCTGTTTCTAGCTGGTAAAATATTAAATGCATTCCCCCGGAAGAGATGGATCATGTGGCTTGGAATGGGAGGGGGACCTATGTGACGTTAGCTGTAAGTAAGATGAGAGCAGCACATGAGCAAGTGCAGAGAGGAGCTTTCCTATTGCCACAAAATTCCTGTAGTTCCTGAACATTTGAGCTTTTAAGGCACACGGATTCAATCACCAGCTTGGCATGAATGCTGCCCTGGCTGTCACCCCCACCAAGCCATCCTTGGCGGGACTTTGTTGCTGGTGTTTATTGAAAGAGCATTTTTTCTGCCTTCTTTCTTTGGAGGGTCTCCCTTTGTGTATGAGTGGGGAGGGGCTGCTGCCGGATTAGACAAGGCATCACCGTTTTGAAAAGCTTGGTGCTCCTATCCAATAGCCATATAATTCCAGCATTTCCTTTGCACTATAGAAGAAGCAATCAGCAATTGAGGCAGATTGATTGATTGAATTATTTATTTATGGGCTTATATGCCACCCCAGTCAAAAACAAACTCTGAGCAGCTTACATTCCCTGCTAACAAGAGAATTAGAATACTTTACTATTGTAGAAACAGGAAGAAGTAACAATATAAAACAAACAACAGCACCAGGAGGAAGGAAGGAAGGAAGGAAGGAAGGAAGGAAGGAAGGAAGGAAGGAAGGAAGGAAGGAAGGAAGGAA